TTTTTACCATATATTTTTTTCTTATTTACCATAATTTTACCAAGAATTTGGCTTATATTTTTTATCAATATTTCTGGATATGTGACAACACGTAATCCAAAAGAGTTTATGATATCTACTATATACAACCATTTATAACAACTATGTATTCAAAATTATGAATAAGATAACAAAAAGTAATCAACTTTGAAATAAGGTAATGCAATTAAGAAACAGTACATCTATAAAAGTAATATAGTTCAACTGTATAACTGCAAAGTAAAAATAACAACAAAAATATCACAAAGTTAATTATCATGAGTTTTTTTTGGGCAAGTCTTCTTGCTATGCCCAACTATACCACATTCACTACAGGTTACTTTCCTCTTCTTCCCCTCTCCTTCGGTGAATCCCTTTTTGCGATCATTTTTTGGAGGTCTGCCAGGTTGCTTTCTTGTAATTGGTGGTAATACTACCTCTTCCAAGACATGTGATGGAACATCCCAAGTGCTTTCGCAAGGCAAGGGTTCAATTGGTATTGCATATGTATCTTGATAATTCTTATTACTATAATAAGCTAAACAATAATCATCGCAATGTTTATTCTTATGTCTGATTGCTGCAAGTGCATGACTACAAGGGATCTCATCATGTTGAAATCTGCCACAACTACACATTCGTGTATTCAGACATACTGTAAACCTCTTTGCACCATCTGTAATGGTATGAAGGTGTATTGTTGATGCGCGTACCTTCATTTAAGAGCATTCATTATCAATAATAAAACCAAAACATAATATGCATAGTAGAGAATTGTTAATACTTACAAGCATACAATGAGACAAATTTCTATTGTCCTCCAACATTGCATTGTATTTACTTGTCAAGGTTGTTGTAGTATTTCTACCTTCTTCGTTGTGTTTCTCATATCAAGCTTCAATTGTTTTTCTAACAAATTCCAACAATGGTACCACTGGTAGCCTTCTTCCAACAAGAATAGCGTTATTTAGTGACTCTGCAATGTTACTTGTTAGTGTCCAAGTCCTTTTTACTGGTGAATGTGCGCGTGACCATTTCTCATAATTTGCTTTTTGTAGATAAGCACGGTATTTTGGATTAATTTGATCCATCAATTCATCAAACTCTTGAACAGTGTAAGATTTTGCTAAACTGAAGAATAATGGTCTAACCTCTTCTGTATCTCTGTATGTTTTCTTTAGTAAATTAGTCCATAGATGGTATATGCATGCGTAATGTCTGAATTCGGGATAAATAGCTGCAGTAGCATTCCAAATGCTCTTATTTCTATCAGAAACAAAGCACATATCTTCCCTTTCACCGAATGCATTTTTAAAATTCTCAAAGAACCATAACCATGAATCATCATTTTCTGAATCAACTATTCCGTATGCAAGCGGCAAGATGTGACCTATACAACAAATATCTTCAAAATAAATACAACATATATTGATTATATATAAAACAAATCAATCTAGTTGCGGTAATGGTATAAACAGTACCTCCTGGATCTAATGTGCTAGCTATCAACATTGTGCCTTCGTATGTTGATTTTAAATGTGTACCATCCACGACTACTATTGGTCGACAATACTCCCAGCCTCTTATACTTGCATCAAGTGCTGTAAATGAATATAAAAAACGATTTTCATCTGTTTTTTTATAATTCACAATTGTCCCTAGATATGTCTTCTCCAATATATATAGATATGTTGGAATTTTTCCATATGATTCGGCAGGGTCACTTCTTAATGTCTCGAAAGCTTTTTTTTTACCTCTCCATGCTTGCATGTATGTTAATGAAATACCATGTATCCTTAACATGTCTGCTTGTATGTCTGTTGGTGTGTAAACGGTCTTCAGATCGACAAACTTTTCAATCAACATTACCCCAAGCACACCACTTGTTGATTGTCGCTTTGATTGAATCCGGTCCTTCAATGGACAAGAATGTGTATCATAGAATTTCCTCACTTTGAATAACTTTGAATTATTCAAACATGAGGATTTAAAAACCCATGAACAGTTTTTTGTAGCACACTTTAGATAGTAACTGCAAAAACTCATGCATATTAATACATGGTAAGTTGTTAAAATATATTGATAATTTTTAAAATCAACATATATAATAACTCACCAGGTAGGACTTGATCTTTTTGCAACGAAACAAAACTCTCTTAGAAATGCATATCTCTTCATAACTTCCGATATAGTTTGCTTGTTTATATAAACTTGATCCTCGGCCACCAAATAGTGTTGAGGATTTGAAATTATTTCCGTTCCTTGTGATTCTTCAATGTAACATTCCAAAATTGGATCCATGTTAGTCAAACATAGTGTGTTGGATCCCACAATATGTTGACGCGTTGTTTGGACATTTGTTTGGTACTCAATGGATATCATAGCTTTGTCCACACATGTCACACATAAAGGATATTTTGAAAAGAAATCTAAATTGCATCTCTTTTGATCTAAATAAACTTGCACTCCCGTATCGTTATGTATCTTCATTGGTGGAGATGGACCACTCACGAAATACCTTAGTTCCAAATGATAAATTGTTGTGTCCACTCCTAATTGTGAAGCTATAGCTGTAAGCAAGCCTTCGTATTTGGTGGTTGGATCATACATAACTCCTTCAATATTGTAATCCACGTAATTTCCTGTTTAAAATAACAAATTCTTTGTTCATACATTGATTTTCGTTGGTATATAAGCTTTTTATTGAAATACCAAATTATTTACCAAAAATTTAATCATTTAATTATCTTAAAAAAACAGTCAAACAAATACCAAATTATTTACCAAAAATTTAACCATATAATTATTTTAAAAAAACAGTCAAACAAATACCAAAGTATTTATCAATATTTTAACCATATAATAAACGTAAAAAAAACAGTCAAAGATTACATACCCTTAAAACAATTTTTAAAATTTATGATTTTATTAGGTTACCATCAGTAAATGTACGAACTATTTTGCACATTATTATTTACACCAATTCACGTACATAAAATTCACTAAAATATGTAACATAACTTTATTACGAGGTTCTAATTATATACCATAGATTGTCAAACTTGTAGTTATTGACACCACCAATTACACCAAATTATTTATAACTACACTCACTTTAATATACGTTCATAAGTAAGATACTATAATTTGACCAAACAATACACCAAATCATGCATTAGGCTATTTTTTTGGTGTCAGCTATTAGTGACAATTATACCAGATCAAATACCTAAACAAATACAGAAATACATATTGAAAACTTATTGATATAAAATATTTGCTACCATATGGAACACATCATACCAATTAAACATAAACTTTAACAAAAAACAAATTTTACACATCAGTGTACAACAAAATCATACGAAATTGTTGAAATTACACCAAAATTTGGACGATCTTGAACGTCCACCAAATTGTATGAATTAATTTACACCAAAATTGACAAAATATATAAAACGAATAACTACCAAAAAGTACAAAATAGATATTTGTGTAAAATCAAATTCAATCACAAAATAAAAAATCATGAGAATTATTTTTTATATAATTACCTGCTGAGTCCCATCGCCCGTTGTGTTGAATTAGAATTGAGAAATTATTGGTATGCATTTCTTTCAATAATCGTTTTTTGTTTGGCCGATTTTTTAAGTCAGAGAAAGGAGTTATGTTTTTGGTAGGAAACCTTTATTTATGGGAGATAATATATAGCATATTTGAATAAATTAGGGAAGGTAAAATCATTGGAGAAATTTATGGGAAGTGGGATAAGCATGGCTGATTTGGAAATTTTTTTTTAAAAAATTTAAATTCTACTTTTGAAAAAAAAAAAGTATTGCTATATAATTGAAAAAAAAAAGTATTGCTATGTTGGTGTAAATACAATTGTTAATTTGTATACTTAAAAAATCCGCCCAAAAATAAATAGAGTTGAATGGTGAATCTTTTATTTTTTTAAAACACATTTTTTTTTTGTCTTTCACTCTGCCACATCACTTAGAAGTGCCAAAATGAAAAATAATAATTGGAGTTAAAGGGTTAAAATGGAACAAGGTTGAGTTGGAGTGTCAAAATGAAATTTAGGGACAAGTTTAAGGGTCTGCATATGTGTTTGGCCTAATTCAAGAAGGTATTTTATGTTTTTTCCCTTGATTTCATATCACATGTCAACCATACATCATAGTTATTCGGTATATGATTACAACAACAACATACATAGTGTAATCCACAAATTAGAGTCTGAAGAAGGTAGAATAAACACAGATTATAGACCCTTGAATTGGAAAAAATAGTATAAAGAAAAAAATAATGAAAATGAATACAATTATGATTAAATATTATATATAATCTAATAAATCAACCTAAACAATATTCATAACAAGATACAACATAATCAAAGTACAAAAAGCACAAATAATGACTAAATTTAAAGGACAAAACAACTACAAGAGTAATATTATTAGGAGCTTATTTTTAGGTGCTTTTAGGTTTTAAGTATTTTTTTTTAGTTTGAAAGTGTTTGGGAAAAGTTTAAACATACTTTTAAGCACTCACCTTAAGCTAAATTTTTTAAAATAAGTCAAAAGTTTGATATCTCTGACTTATGACTTTTTAGTTTTTGACTTACAAGCTACCCCTTCATTTTAAAAAAGTGAATTAGTAAGGTATTGCACACTTTTTAAGAAAATAATATTAAGACAACAATTTACCATTACTTTTTATTTTTACCTTTTTTAGTTATTGTCAAATTAGTCATTAGAAGGACTAAGCATTGATCATGATAACTACTGTCAAGTAATTTAAAATTCCTAAATAAATAAAATGGGACTCACCGTTGGCTGACTCACAGTAACTTCTTCAGAACGACGTCGTGGAGGCTTTTAGCAGTCTTTTGTACTCGCGCCACAGCAGTGAAGCAGACTGGAGCTTTTTCCCAGTTTCTGCTATACTCATCACCTTCACACAATATTTCTCTGATAAGAATGGAAGGAGTAGGTTCTAGACTTGGTCGGGCCTCCTCCAGGTACGGCGCCACCGCTCCAATTTTTAGCGGTCCAGTCAGAAAATGGAAGAAGCAGTGGGTTACTACTCAGCCTAACAACAATTTTCGTGGCACCGGCAACACCAACAACGTCACCGGACCAAAACTCATGCTTTGCCGTTGGACGCCTCTTGCTTCCGTTCGTTCTGAAGATTCTACTATGCCGGAAAAAACTCCTAAACGGAAGTTCCGATATGCGCCTGTAAGTTAACTCTCTTCGTGAACGATGTTGTAATTTTTTACTGTTAGGGTTTAGCTATCATTTATCTATTTTTTTTATTTGAAGTTTTGGATTTCCACTTTTCCTGTAAAATAATTTTGTTAGAAGATTGATTTGTTAGTAAGCACACGTTGATTGACGAGATGAGTTGCTCCAATGGTAAATACACTTCACCTTTTAATTCTGTAATTGTGAGTTTTAGTTACAAAGGGAGCAAAAAGAGCTGGAGCTCTAAGTAAGCACACATTAAGTAGTATTGTCTTAATGTCAACGTTAGTTTTTAATTTTGGTGTCAATAGAACATGTAACCGAGCTATTTTCTGCAATTCAATTTTTTCTTTTTTAGGGTGTGTTTGGTACGACGGAAAATGTTTTTATGAATTTCTTGGTAAACAAAGTGAGTTTCTTAATTAATTTTCTAGTGTTTGATAAGTAAGCGAAAAGATATTATTACAAAAGCAGTTGTATGTAATTTGGGTGGGATGGGGTGGGGAGTGGTGGTTTTGGGTAGGATGGTCAAGGGGTTGGGGTTGTGTCACGACTCAATTTAGAATCGTGATCGGCGCTGAGGGGGAGAATTCCAAAGCAAGCCTTACCAGAATTCTACGGACAATCGGGCAGAGTTTTCTTTGTTTTTAGGCCTATCTTGAATTTTCCCGTCTCCGAAATTCACAACACAACTAATAGCAATTATAAACCACAACATAATATCCATCAATGATCTAATTGTCACGCAATAAAACCAATTCATCTCCAAATTACGGAAAAAATTCCAAGCTAGTCAGTTGACTACAATTCGAAGGACTAATCCTGATTCAAATCAAAGGAATGACAAATGGAGAGACTCTAAGAGTTTTTAAAGAAACTAAATAAACCATAGCAAATCAATAGATCTCTTGCCACGCGAAGCAATGTGGGGCTCACCAGATGCTACCAAATCACACTCTCTAGTTAATTGAAATCCTCTTCAATACCACCTAAGCTCTCTGTAAAAACAATTAGCGAGGAGTGAGACGCTAGCTCAGTGAGTAATAATACTTAACCACAATCATTTTAATGAGGGACAAGTCAGAAAACATGCTAGTAAATAATCAAAATGAGGTAATAATACCCTTTCAGACACAATAACCATATTCAATCTTATTTACCTCATGTAAGCAAAATCAATATAAATACTTAATAGTAAACTCAGAAAAAAACATTTCCATAACAAATCTTATAGCTGGGAGGTTTCCAAGGATGACTCATGTAATCAATGTGGCCTTTTCTTTAAGAAGTAACCAATAACAGTGAACTCCTCATAAAGGAGTTAAATATTCATATCAGTAGTTCCCTACTGGAGCGATATCAGTAACAATATGCTAGTTCTACCTTCCCACTAACAAGGGCTTTATTAGTAATATGTAACTACAAGGTGCACCGCGTCTAACGAACCCTCTGTTATCTACGAGATTCATCAAGGTCTACTCCCATTTATACTTTTCTTGTAATCAGTAGAAGCATTTCAAAATCGAATAGAGCATTAAATCTTATCAAATCATATTATTTCAAGGTTTAACAATCACATGTCAAAATACTATTTCTCAAATAAGTGTAAAACTTTTTCATTAACAGTAATCATATCTTGTAAGAATGAGATCATCTCAAATAATCCTTTCAATATCATATCAAGTAAAAGACTTGTCCCACATGCAAGTTCAAAACATTCGGTAACACATTTACTTTATAAACCATGTGAAAATCATGAAAGTTATAAACATCAATTGTGGTAAGATTACTACTCACAGTACTCCTGTCGAATTACCAAGCTCGCCACTCGATTACTCGTACGAATTCCTTTGGTCAATCTATAATCACATTCATAACAATTTCGTGTTAACTCCTTCGTTTAGGCTATTTCATGCTAAATTCAGAATACCCAGCCCCTTTTTGGACTTCTTGGTTGCCCACCAATTTGATGCACCATATATATTCAAGTCATGAGTAATTCAGTTGGAGCAATAAACTATTAACTAAATCTATTTTATCCATCTTATTCACATCCAATTCTTCATATCCTCTAATCTCTAGCAATCAGATTTCTATCCCCCAAAGTAAACTACCTAGGCTAGGAGTCTTAGCAAGTCTGTAAAAGAAGAAGAAAGGAAACAAAGATTTACCTCAAACCTATTTCTCCTCCTACGCCCCTTACAATTTTCACCCTTCAACTCTTTCTTCTCTTCATAGTTCCTTCGCTGGAAAAGAAACGCAGCTCCTACCGTTCTCTTCTTTTCTACTTTTTCTTATTTTTTTCTTAGTTGCATCGTTGATGCTGCTTCTGTTAGGGCTTTTTGCCCCTTTTTTTAAAAAAAATTTCTAAACATTTTTGGTCAAACAACACCCAATCAACTTTTTTTTTTTTTTTTTTTTTTTAAATAAGAGCTAAATGACATATATTGCCTTATTTTAATATAGGGTATTACAGGTTGGGGGCGTTGGTAGATGGAGAGGAGACAATTAACTTGTAATGTCACTTGTGAGTTTTTTTTCTCTTCTAACATTAGGGAAGTCTAAAACATTGGACTCTATGGAAAGAAAGGAATGCTAGGTGTTTTGAAGGACAAAATGATAGTTTTCAGAAGATAGAAATGAAATGCTTAAGTCTTTTATTTTTTTGGTGTAAGCAAGAGTTGGTAGGGGAAAGCATAGAGATGGTCGATTTTAAAGGAAACTTGTAATTCCATATGGCTTTTTGAGGGTGTGCCCACCACCCTGTGGGATGTAAGTTTCCAATTCATCATCTCTTGGATGATGAATTTTTTGTGAATACAAAGTTACCCTTATCTCAAAAAAAAGTCTAAAACATTTTGACCAACCAAATATGAGAAAATCAGAAACCATACAAAACAAACCCCTAGACTCGACATCAACATACTCAGTGTAATCCAACAACATCACCCCTAGACTCTTCAATTTATATATGTGAAGGGAAATTAAGTTTTCTTGCATTTTAAATTATGGAAGTGCATAAAATTGGTTCATTTTTAAATTATATGAAAGCTAAATGTGTCATGGTACTATTGTAAGGTTGTTTCTGATGGTACTCGAATTCCATCTGCAACAATGAAAGAAAATTAGCGACAAAGTGAACATGGATCTAGTTCAGGAGTGGTAGAGGTAGAGGTAGGCTGAAGAAGTATTGGGGAGAAATAATTAGACATGACATGACCCAATTTTAGCTTACCGAGGGCATGACCTTAGATAGGAGGTTGTGGAAGACATGTATTAGGGTAGACGGTTAGTAGAAAGGAGTGCATTGTTCGTCCATACTAGTAGGCATAGTATCTCTTGTAGTTTCTTGTTTTTCGATTTCTGTTACTATCTAATGTTTCTTGTACTTCAACTGTCGTATTATTTTATTGTGGTATTGTTCCTTAACTATCTGTTATTTTTGATACTATCTGTTGGTTCTTGTACTTTCACTACTATTTGTTGTTTTTCATTGAGCTGACGGTTTATCAAAAACAACCTCTCTACCTTTGACTTAGGGGTATGGTTTGCGTACACTCTACCTCCCCAGACCCCATTTTGTGGAATTACACCGGGTGTTGTTGACCTCTTGAATATGCAGATTGTTGACTTGGAAGAAAAGAAAAAGGAAGCTCCTGACAACAAAGCTAAATCGAGGAAGCTGAATCAAGCTATCACAAGTTCAACATTGAACGATAACATCTTGACGAAACAAAGTATCAATGATATCTTTGATGACGATTTTGAGGTAATATTTTGATCTTTGTTACCTTTTAGAAAAACAGTTGCATTTCTGTTGTCTATTGTTGTTTTATATTTTCTTCAGTCGTTTGGTTGGGAACAAGTTATCTCAGAATAAGTTATCCTGACTATCCTGGGATAACTTATCCCACCATGTATATGGGATAACTTATCCTATCACTATGATATAAATGGTGGGATAAGTTATCCCAAACATGACAACCAAACAAGATAAATTTTTTTTATCCCATCACTAATATTTTTAATCCCTCACACCAAACAAGTTTATGTCTGCTCTCCTTTGCTCAATTTTCTACTTACCCTTAATCAAACTTAAATAAGTTTTGATTCACTTGAACGATAAGAAATATACTCGATATGTGGTGAAATTCCAATAAAGTCTTCCCAACTCAGGGCTTGTCCTTTTTAATACGCCAGCTCGTTATTATGTGTAAAAACTAGGACTCTAGAAATCCTCAACAGTCAAATTAATTGATATTTAAAATCCTAAATCAACTAGGGTTGATTAAATGAATTCTCCATATCCATTTTGCACTAGTCAGGTTCACTTCATTCCAGTAGTAAATAATTTAGGAGTTCTCACACATATTCATACACAACTAATTAGTCCAATATCAACTATTGCCTATATGATTCATTTGTTGACACATTTCGTTCATTTTCTGGTGAGACCTCTGAGGGATTTTAAGTTGGCTGAAATAACTTCCTTCCATGTGGTTTTTGCTCTATCTGTCAACTTTTTTCACTTTCAACCATCATATAATCACATGGACAGACTGAAGGATCTATGTAAGGACATAGCTAAATCTTCTCAGACGACATACTCTCATTTTATCTTGTGTGTTACGTGCACATTAAGGTGAATGCGGTCATTTCTAATCTTGTTCAATATAGATACCACATCCTTCTAATATGTGTAGTTTCATTTTTTGTACCTACTTTGAAATTGATACTGGCCAGAGTTTAATGAAGGTCTTTTCGTGTACCTCAGGAACTAAGGACAGATCAGTCCAATCAGACCGAAAGTGAGCCGGATTATGACTTGTACTTGGAAGGGTGTGATTGAGGCACGGCGGAATGGAGAAGATTGGTTGTTATTAACGTAGATCGTAGGGATATTTAGGTCTAAATGGTTGTAAATATAACCCTCTAGTTTTTGTGCCAACTTAGAATCTAATGTATCAATGATTGTAAATATAATCCCTGTAGTTTCTGTGCCAACTTAGACACTAATGTATAAATGATTGTAAATATAATCCCTCTGGTTTCTTTTGACGACTTGCTAGTTGTCGTCCTTTTCATAGTGACCTTTCAATATCATCCCGTCAAGAAGAAAACCTTTAGGCTTATTATCCAATAACTTGTTTAGAAATATTGCAATGAAAGAAACATCATTGGGAGTTTGACCAAATAAGATTGTTCAATTCCTATAAAACCTATCACTAAAATATCTCTAGAGGGAGATAGGGCTAAGTAGAGCGAAAAGGGTTGAGTAAAACTCTATTTGGATAAGTTGAGAGAAAGGACAGCAAAGTAAACCTCCCCCACAATAAAGCAGTCATTATTAACAGACATTACTTAACACTGTAAAACAAAAAATAAAATAAAATTGTAAATACTAGAAAAAACTATAACTACTCTGTGAACGGACAGTTCCATTGGAGGATCTGGAACTAAACTCCTTTTCAAAAGTGAGAAAAATTTTCTTTTCGTGCTCCAAAATCTTGGTTCATGACCCACCTGTTTAAGCTTCAGTTCTTCAATCTGCCTTCGTACTCTCCATGGCTACCGTCACACCAACTTCAGCTGGCCGAATGATTCGGTCATGCAAGGTGTACCCCGACTGGAACAAGAAGGGAAGTCATGTCTATTAGTTATTCAACTTCAATGAAAAGGGATGTATAAAGTAAATACTAGATTTGCAATAATCAATAAGGATAAAGTGCATGAAGATTGAAATAGCAAATAAAATACATGAATGCCGGAGAAGAAATTCCTAACAGATACCTTGAGGCAGACAGCGACCATGCCAGGAGCCTTTTTAGGATCTGGTACTTGAAACACTGCATTATGCTTATTTGGATCAAATTCTTCATTTGTAGGATCATATTTTCCCACACCAAATTTTTTGAATACCTGAAAAGTAACGAGATGTAAGCAAAAACCAGCACTGAGAAACATATAATGGAGACCTCCTCGCGAAGGTCTTTCGAGACATTTAAGTCGAAGAAGCAACAATAACATAGACCAGAAGGAAATAGGAAGGATTACAAATTTAACCCCTTGAAGTTACTGAACCTTACATTACAATTGGAGCAACAGTAAGGATTTTACTGGGATTTTTCCAATATCAAAGAAATTGTTTTGGAGCTTCTCTTCCAGCTGCATGTGTACATATATGGCAAACTGCAAACCCTCTTCGCTGCTGCTTCATTTCAGAAGCTGGTTGGGGCATTTAGCACAAGTGAATAAGCAGCAATAGGTTCTTTTGCCAAAATCTGTAGGGTTTTACATGGCTTTAAAGGCAAATTTTTGGAACTACCACCTTGTTGAAATTTAAAATTATAAATTTCTCCGGATTCACCCTAAAAGACCTAAGTTGTTTATATTGTAGATTATGTTTGTAAAAAAAAAGGTTGAAGTGTTTCATAGATGAATTCAGAATCTACGAAAGCAGTAAAAAAGGAACATAACCCATGGACTATATTTAGGTGAAAAAGTGTACCTCGGAAAGCTGTTTATCTGTCATTTCAACACCTTCCAGAAGTGTCTTCAGAAGTGGCACAGCACCAACAGTATCCTTAGATTCATCAATTTTGGAGAAGCTCTCTTTTACAACAGAAGAAGCCCGTTCCATATTATCAGCAACATCTAGAAGAGATTTCACAAAATTCTGCAATAGCATTTATGCAGAAGATGAGAGAAAATCACAAGCATAACGTAATACTAATAAGTAAATGCAGGACTATCTGGCAAAGCATGTGCCTAGAAAAACTAACTTGAATGGCAAACTTTTTGGAATTTTCTGCTTCTCGTTTGGTTCTGTTCATTACATTCTCCATCTCCGCATAGGATCTAAGAGCTTTTTCCTTCATTTTCTGAAACTCATCATCTTTTATCTTTAGGAGTTCTTCCTTCTCAGCCACTAGTTTCACCAAGTCATCCCTAGAAAGGTCCTCCGTATCTAAATCAGAATCAGAATCAGAAGATACAGCTTGTTTAGTACGTCTACTTCTTCGTTTGACATTTTCATTTGTGTTATCATTGGATGCCAAATCAGGACCTGATTCATCATTCTCATCTTGACACTGAGAATCAGCAGAAACTGAAGCTTCACATTTTTCACTCACTTCTCCATTCTCTTTTGTGCTTCCTGGTTTGCTTTGGGACTGAGATGCCTCTTTTTCATTATGTTGGGGGGATGCAGAGGATGAAATCCAAAACCGTTGCAAGACAGATTCATGAAATAGAGTAACCTGATTCACCATTAGCAGAACCAGCAATATTTAGGTGCATATGGAAATTGAACATTTCTTCTTTTGACAAGTACAGAGTAACTAATACATAAAATCTCAAGGCATCAAACTTAGTGGAACGTTGATTTTACAGCTCGAGCAAGTTAAAAGATCTATAAAGTTATCTAGGCACTGTACAGTATTTTGATAACAGCAAAAAGAACAAGTTGGCCAAGTAACTATTTTTCAAATTATGTAGGTCTGGATATCCCTTTGAAACCTGACAGAGCCAATCCAACTGATAAACATCCTACAACTGGTAGTGAACATAACACATTCCATACCAAACATCCCAGGAACAAGCTCCAAATATTGCAAACTATCTCAAAATGCAGAAAAAGATTGCTTATAGTTGTTTCTAAAATTAAGCAAGCTAGCAGCCAATTAAGGTACTCCAACATCTGGCACCTTTTTAGATTCTCATAGTTTCAGTAAAGGTTTCAAGTGATTGTTTTGCATCCTGATTTTTTTACAATATTCTGTTGATACAGCTAAAGTAACACATCTATCAACGATTCAAATAGAAGCCTATGATACAGCTAAATTACGAGTACTGCTTAAACCCTAGCAAAACCCTACACATTAAAAATCGACGAAAAATCAACAACTTCAAAAGAATTAAGGTTCAACATCAAACCTTCTCTTTGAATTCACGAAAGGAGTGGAACTCAGATGCAAGAATGGGAACGTATTGTTGCTGTTGCTGTTCTCGGGAATAGAGAAGCAACGAGCTCCGGCACTGAGTTACGACGGCTTTTGGGAAACGACATACAATTCTACCAACCAACATCTCCAAATTCACAGTTTGAGCTCAGATTTGGAGAAATGGAGAAGTGAGAAATGTGGTGAAGAGAGGTAAATAGAAGTGATCAGTTCATCGCTTGTAGAGAAAGAAAATTGTGAATTGTCGAGAAAACCCCTGTCTTGTTCAGCAGGGTATTATACCGTAATCTCTTTATTTAAAAAAGAATGACCTCTTTTTTTAATTTCAGTTTTTCACGTGCATTTTCAAGATCATAAGATTTAAAAAATAATTTTGTACATTTGACATAACTTTAATTTAGGATTACACGATTCAAATATCTTCTTTATTTTCTTAAACTTTTGTCAATTTCGTGTTAAGTCAAACTAGGTCACTCTTTTTGAAATGAAGGGAGTACCGTGAAAGTAATAAGAGGATGCCACGGTTATATTTGTCATTTTGAGAGGATACTTCAGTTAATGATGGAAACGTCCAGAAAGGGATAGGAAAATTGAGTAACGGCCCTTGGAAATCTTCATTTCATGATGGCGTCTACTTGACGAATTTTTTCTGCCCATCTATTTTTTTAATGATAAATATTATCTTAGTTTTTGTTATTCTTTTTTCTTTTTTTACTATATTAATAGTATAAAAAAACAAGAATCTCACATAATAGATAAAATTGTGCACTAATTTTGGATGTTTGACAAATTCGTAGTGTTTGAAACAATTATCTTGTTAACTAAAAACAACACACTTAAACATAAATCCTACAAAATTAAATGTTCGATAAATTTTTGGAAATTGTATTGCGCATTAATTTAGTATGGCTATATAGCTCTATTCACCTTAACGGTCGTCAAGCCTAATACGTTCAGGGGCGGCTCTACAGCTTTGAAAAAAAAGCAATTGCCTTAGGCCTCAAAATTTGAGGGGCCTCATTTAAAAAAAATAAAATAATAGGTTATAAGTATTTTTTTTTAAAAATATCGAGTATTACTTGTAGAAAATTATTTTTTTTCATAAAAGAGCAAAGAAGTAATAGAAGTTCGACAAATTACGAATACTATGTCTCAAGAAAGATTAAATAATTGGCTATAATAAACTTCATAAAAATATATATTTAAATTTAAGGCCTCCATTCGAATTTCGCTTTAGGCCTCCGATTTATTAGAGCCGCCCCTGAATACGTTAATGAAAGCCATAAAACGTTCATAAGGATATTGTGTTGTGTTCAACTTAAAATACAATCATGAAATTAAAAATATCAAAAACTCCTTAGAGAAATACCATAAAAAAAACTTCGTTGGCCGATTGGTTCTGCTCCTATTTTGTTTGAAGATAATGAATCTTTTTACGAACAACAACATACCCAGTGAAATCTCACTAAGTGGAGTTTGATGAAGGTAGAGTGTATGTATACCTTACCACTAACTCGTGAATAAAAATATAAAAAACAAGAAGCACCAACACAAAAGTAAAGTTCTTCCCGGATGCAGAATTCATAATGCATATTTACATGCAGCCTTATTTACCATATGATAATATTACTTCAGTACTCACTATTAATCCCAAGTCTCAATGTGGGAGTAAGAATAAGAATACAAGATCCATAAAATAATAAACATCACGTCTGCCAGGCGCCAGCAATTACTCTATGCTATATCAGCTCTGGACCTCGTCAATCATAAGGATTTCTGAAATTCTTGAGAAGTTCAGGGATGTCATAACCAAGCATGTCATCGACGGATTGTATCAATTTGGGCTTCAACTTCTCAAACTTATCAATGTTATAACCACTCAGAACTTCCCTGAAGTGTTCGACGTTAGGAAAATCCCCAGCTGGTAGATGGTGTTCCTTTTGAACCTGTTTTGATGAGTTGGAAATTAAGACACAATACTAAAGCTCCATACAAGAATCATGTCACAAGTGCATGAAATTGCTCGTTGGTGCTAAACATGCATGCATGTTGACCACATATGTATGTAGATTTGAGGCAGACAACAGACGGGAGAGAGAGAGAGAGAGACCTTCATAAATTGATCTTCCAAGTTATCAATAAGTTTTTGCTGGGTCTTGGCTTTGCCCATCATTGCTGGCATCTCCTTTTTCAGATGACTGATAATGTAAGAATGTATCTTGGCAGCTCTAGCACGTTTTACGAATTCATTTATCTGCACCAAAATATAGCCTGTTTGTTATCCTCATTTTTCAAAAAACTTGGACGCACAGTATATAGAAGTAAGTAACATGTGATGCCATAATGAAGATTATGAACTTACACGACGATCACAAGCCTTCTTTGGTATGTTTTTCAAGTCTGTAAGGAGATCATCTTGTTCCTTCTCAAAAAGTTCTTTTCCAATTGGCCCTATAGCAGCCTCATTTATTGGTTTGTCATTAAATGATCTGTGAAAGATGAAAAACTACATTATTGAGGAACTCCAAAAAGTGATGAAAGTCTGTAATATTTTGATATCTACAAGGATACAACTCAGAAGGACTCAACATTATGCTCTATACACAAATAGGAAATTAAAATGAAGATATCTGCTTCTAGAGCATGCATGTTATACCTACACACTCAAGCATGAGAGCAAACAGTGTATGGTGGGCGAGTATCTCAAACATGAGGTAGGTTTTTGGACAGAGTAACCCCCCACCCCCACCACCCAAAAAAGCCTACCAGGAATCAACCACAACCAGTGGCTCTTTCCCACTTTGCTCCCCAGTGACTCCAAACCCAACCTAATGATTGGAGGCTGAGTGTTCTTACCACTAGGCTATCCCTCCATTATTGTAACCATGTTTCAAAAAAATAAAGGTCTAACTCCCAAATCAGATGTCAAGTCTCATAAGGTGCAATCAAGATCTCAGTCCACTGGCAATAGTCTTAACGTAAGTGCAGGCTTGATACATCTTGAAGACATCCAGAAAAACATAGATATTTGAAATCCCAAAATAATACTCTTACTTTGTTGGGCAGAATACCAGAACTACTTGTAAGAATATAGAGATCATACCCTATGTAGACACGTGCAACTTCAGGGGTATTTAGAACCTTCCCTAAAGACCACATCAATGCTCCGTAAACCCTCATAAGCTGCAGTTGACACCAACAATAAAACCAAATGGTTAGCTTAGTCCAGAAATAGGAGGAAAACCTTAACAGACCCAAAAAAACAAAAGTTGAGCCTACTTGTTGAGTATCAACTTGGTCAGCCTTGTTCAAAACCACCCGTATCTTATCATCATGGCCTCGAAGAGACGCAATCACACGTTTGAATTCATCACTTATATCAAGTTTGTGAGGATCAAACAAAAGAAAAATGAGATCACACTTAGAAGCAAACCAAGACGTCACTCCCGTAAAATCATAGCTCCTTTGTGTTCGTTGTTTTTCTCCTGATAGAACTCCAGGAGTATCAACAAATGTGATGTGCTCCAACAGCTAACATGAGAGAGGGAAAAGATGGGAAAAGGTATTCAGAGTCTGGTGAATTTATGAGAAAGTTCTGATCATTTAATGTATGAGTACAATCGAGTAGCATAACTCACAGGATGTGGCATTTGAGAACACTCAAACTTCGACAAAAATGCAGATCCAAAAGTTGTCAAACCGCTAAATGGCATATTTGCTTGAACTGCAATTGTGTTCCCTGGAATACTCCTTTCGTCGGGTCCATTCTGTATAATTACAGTAAAAAATGAACACCAGTCCAACAAAAAGATTAGCAAAACAATCACTGTTGAGAAAACTATTACCAAACATGCATTCCATGGGTATAGCCTTTTCCTTTCTAACTAAAAGTCTGGTTTAACTAGCAAAACTGTTGCAGAGCACTCTCAAGGAACTCTTTGATGTGATATATTTAGAACTATGTGTTAGGACAGAAGGGAGAAAATATATATCCACAAAAAGAAGGTACAATGAATTGAAAAGCCATCTTTGTCAATTTAGCGCACACTATTTTGACACAACTTCAAATGGAATGAAAGACATTCAACTCAAGGTGAAAACAAAAATAACTTCTCTTTTGTTCAGCAACATAATCCAAAAAAGGACTGAAAACAAGTGACCGCAGTGGTTAACAGAAACAAAGATAAGCAAAGTACCATGACAACCACAAATCTGTCTGTTGTAGGCTCTGGTCCAATGTGAGCACCTATAGACAAATAAGGAGCACAAGTGTCAACAGGAAGCTGTGAACAAACAAGAGACATGGACAAGAAAAAAAAGAGTGTTAGATGACCTGGATAACTGGTTCCAAGTAAATGTTTAATAAATGTAGTTTTTCCTGTTGAGTATTGACCCAAAAGCATCACCATTGGTTTGGCATCAAAATCACTATTTGTCTACCAACACAGAGCATATGAAGAAAGCTGTCAGTGGCTTCTGTATTACTTTTCCATGGATTAGTACAAAAGAAACTATAGTTGAATGGAAAAGTATAAGCAAGAGTTTCCTCTCCTATATCTTGAAAATAAGCACAACCAACATGATAAACTGCCTACCAGTAATGGAGAGACGAAATCATTATAGTGATATGTTGCTTCCAGTGGCTTTAGTTTCTGGAGGTACAACTTCTTCAGTCCATCAACTATCGATGTGACGGAGCTTAAAGAGACCTGAAGGTAGATTAACCGAACCAAGCCTCATTTTAAGAGCAAAATCAGAAAATTTAGCATTAAACATGCTATGCAATGCTATAGGATGTATAGGGAGAATAAAGGGAGAGTACATTTCAATGCAACAATTTCAACAAATGGTTTATAACATAAAATTAAACAACGTTCTCGTTAATGGATAAGGACAAATGATGCTCATTTACAAATTGACTTCACAGGGAAAACATCTGATATGATTTCAATTTGAGATAACTAAATGAATTTATGTTTGTAACTTGTGAAATATACAATTTTAACATAAGTGTGTCAATATTTTAAGGAGTCCAAATAAGGACATCTGTCATATAACTAGGGAGGGTGAAAGTGGGTGGACCGGTGGAAGGTATTCCATTTAGGAGAAAGGATACCAGCTAAACATGGCAAAAATTGGAAAACATGCCATTCAAAAATAAATAAATTATACAACTGGCTAGTAGAAAAATGCATCAACTAGGTGAACAAAAGTGCAGAGGTCTGTGAGCTTACAAATAAAGTACAAGACTAACCACACTAACCTTCTTTACAGATGAAGATGATGAAAACCAATTAGCTGTAGCAGAAGATTGCACTGTAGAACTGCCTGCTTCCGAATCCAATTAGTTAGACATAGATGATCCATCTAAATCCCTTCTCAAATACCCAAGAATCACTAAGAAAGAAGATATAAGAAAGATGTTGTATGTGTTGAGGTAAAATTACCATTCTGCTCAGGTTCACTTTTAGGCATACGCTTTTTCTTCTGTATTATAGAAAATACAAGTCAGTAGCACCACAATAAATGAAAACTAATGCAGAAAGTACACCAAGCATACTTACAGTTTGAAGTAAATCCAGACCTTCCAAGCTAGGGGGTTGCAAATTTTCAAAGTCAACTGCCATGATTACAATTGTTCTAATTGTAAGAACACTAACAGTATATGACAACAATCCTACAGCTAAAGAAAGAGAACACAAGGCATTGTAATGAACCAACTAGTTTGCCAGAGATCACATTCTAGAGACTACTCTCGTTGCTAGATTACAGTCTAAAATTTTAAAAATTTAAAGCTTGCTAGTTACCTTCGGCATTTAAGAGATCACTGCTTACTGGGTGGCCAGCTTGTGCCAAAGAGACTAACTAAATGTTTGGAAAAAAGAAAGGATCAGAGTCTTATCTGGATTAAAATTAAATACCAGGTTGAAATGCAAGTCTGCAATGAACTAGTACCTGCATTGCAGCAATAAACTCTCTAAAACCGAGAAAGCCTTGCCGTTTGTAATCTGCAATTGCCCACACCTTGGGACAGAAGAAAAGAAAAACAATCCATTGAAATAAAATTAGCGAGTTAAGAAGAAGAGAACTGGCAGAAAAGAAGGGATCAATCTGATTCAGTAATAGCTACAGTAGTACTAAGCGGAAACTGACTCATAATAAAGCATGCGAGCATAGGGTGGAGAAGTGACACATAATAGAAGACAGTATGAAAGTCAAAAATACAATATTATTGCAGATAGTCAGTTGATACTGGGCATAACCTATGTAGAACTACCAAAAGTAATGTATAAGTAAGCATCTGTTCAATTTTGGGTGTAAGAGAAGGGAAGAGGATAAACTTTGCCATCCAATTCGTTAGGGTTTAATTTCTTCACCATCAAAACTTAGTTGTATCACTGCGCTTGTTAAAATACACCCACTTTATCCACTGGCTTAGTTCTGTTCACTAATCACTGAAAAACGTTAACATGAATTGTAAATGGCTAGAAATGGTCCAACATACAGGATTTCCTATTTAACAGGACCTGCTAATCCACATGTCTAATCAATCCTCTTTGAATTTCAGATTGGAGGTCACTCTCATTAGTTGTAAAGATGAAGTTCACAGAAATACTCTCCAGTGTCAACAGTGCAAGAGGTTCACCAGTTTGAAAAGTTCAAATGGCAAAGCACAACACTCAAGTTCGGAGCCACAAGCGTAAGTAATCAGAATGTCAATCGATCAACAGTTCTTCAATCTCGAACTAGGTGGGGTCAACTAATGTGAGTGACAATAACTAAATCCAAACATAGAGTAGCCGAAGTCATTTAGTTTTCCTTCTCTGTAGACATGGATGCAACACCAGAAGTGAAGAGTCCGCGCAACTTAGCTTGTACCCTCTATTGGATGTGATCTTTTTTTATCTTACCTAATCTTGTATGACTACACATCCATTATAGTATTTGCATTTATAAGACGCTCATCTTGTGGTATGTTGGACGATAGAGATGCATTCACTCTCATTGTATCTCTACTCTCAAATAATTTGTTGGTCTCAGCATTCCAATGAATTTCACTGTATGTGGGATTCCTACAATAGAATCCCAAAAAATCTGGATCACCCAGTGCAATGGGAAAGTCAAACAGAATTTGGTCTCAACAGTAATTGTAACACAAATACCAGATATATATCCATGTAATTACATCACCAAAGAATCAGAGAATACGATGCTAAAGAACCGCTCCCGATCCAATTACAGACATAAAAACAATGCTTAATGACCTACTTCACATCCAATTTCAGACAAAGTGTCATTAGCCCCAATTAACCTTAACTTCCTAAACTACCATCAAGGATCAGAAACAAGAAGTTGCATGAAAAGGTAACTGCTATTTGGTTGAGAGCAATTCAATTATGGAAAATGCTTTGCACGAATCGAGTCAGTTATTAAATTGAAAGGAGAAGAGAACAAAAATCCTGTGTTTACAACATGGACAATTAGAAGTTCACTAGTTTAAGAACTTATCCTCCTCCAATCTGAACATTGAAGATTACTAGGGCCTTACTAAATCTTATTATTGTATGGAACCATTCACGATGAAGATCAAGATTGTGTTAGTTATGAATCCAATTTTTCCATGTTTGGTTGGTCAAACTATTTTGGAAAATATTTTCTCTAGGAAAATGACTTCCTTAATCAAAGTACAGAAAACAAGTTACATAAGTGGCATTGCAAGTTCATTATTTCTTTCCAACCCACCCAACACCCCCATCCCCTACCCTTGACTATCCCAACCCTTGCCACCCTCGAACCACCAGTCCCCACCCCATCCCGTCCACATAGTATTTTGCTAGATTACATATATATGCTCTTGGAATAATATTTCTTTGCTTACCCACCAAATACTAGAAAATAAGCCAGAAACCCACTTATTTTCTAACAAAACATTTTCTAGGAAAATATTTTCCTTTCTTACCAAACACTTAGTCTTACAAGAACTGAAACATATACCTATACTCGCTAGCAAAAACTGTCACTCTAAGCCATTCTACTGCACAGGGGAAAGAATAAAAACCTGCTTGAGGTCCTGCCGAGGCAAATTGGACATGGCAAAGAACTTGATAGCATCACCGCCAGTGAGACGTCCATCTCCATCTGATAAAAATACCCAAATTCATTTTTCAGCATAAATTTGTGAAATCAAATGGAGCATACATACATATACATATATAATTATACACACGAAGAGGATCATCATAATGAGGGTACCTGAATCGGCTAAACTAAACCATTGTTGATAGATTTTCTCATGATCTTTGGAGCACCGATTAATCGGAGATGTATCAAACTCCATTATTCAATTGGCTTTTTCACCTATCTGAGTGCCTTGCTTTTAGGGGAACACTTTTTATGTTTCCATTTTCCTTCACTGATTTCTTTTTGTAGGAAGAATATTTATATGTAAATAATTTATATTTATCAAATTAAGTAAGTAGTAACTTTCTAAGTTTCTAAATTATTTATTAAATTTTTTATATTATTACTTTATATATGTCATACAAAAATTAAAGTGATAGTTTTGAAACTATAATAATAGATGTGTCGTTTGAAGTAAGATTTGTTTCTAAAATAGGAGAAGATTTTTTTTAGTATCCTACTAGTAAGAATGATTTTGAAATATGCACCGTACTTAATAATACCATGTTGAATATTGAATTATATTATTTTTTTGGTTATTAACGAACTCTTGTTTTATAGTTAATCAAGTTGGCTATTCATACAAAATTTACGTGTATAAATCACATTTTCCCCTTGTTAATCATGTATTTGTTAAGTTTCCCTAATAATTAGGTAAAGAGAAAGGTGAAAATAAGTTGTTTGTTTCCAAACGGTAAAACTTAATCCCCCTCCTCTTTTTTTTTTGTGCAAACTAAATATTGTATTAAACAATCTAATACGAAAATCTTAGTAGCTCAGTTGATCGGCGACAATAACGACACTTATACCTTTGTAGAACAACACTTACATTAGTAACCAACATGGGTTGTGGTGCACTGGTGGGAGTGTTTCACCCTTAACCAAGGGTCTCGGATTCGAGCCCTGGGTATGGAGAAAATTTTGTTGGGAGCGCCACCCTCGAATGGGCTTTGCAAAGCGCGATCCAGATTTAATCGGAACTCCAATATAGTCTCCGAACACCAGGTGGGAAACCAAAAAAAAAAAAACACTTACATTAGTAGAAGTAGTGATGTTAACATGAACTACATAAGTAGTACTTTGTCTATTATGTACATAAGCAAAACGGTTAGTGATTTGTTAACTATTACAAAATATAGTTGTTTGGATATTACTTTTACCACGTATATGCAATAGCAAAAGTGAACAAGTCTAATTATATCTTCAAGTAAATCAAATGGTGAGCATGTATTGTTTGAGCGAATAGACGAAAGTGTCAAGTTGGCATGATGAGGTTGTAAATGGCCTAATATTTGGCACCTAAAAAGGGTGTTTGGGTGGAGCTAAAAGAGGTGTTCGGTCAATAAGCTAACTTTTTATTGTGTAGAGCCTAAATATTGGCAATGTAAGAATTCTTATAATTTTTCGTAAGATACTATTGAATACATATAAATTATTGTACATCACACAATAACACAATTGCTTATCTGATTTCCCCTTAGGTTTGAGCTTAGTTACAAAATCTCAATTAAGCAAGTAAAGTTTTCTTTTTAAATCAATGGAACCCCAACTAAAGTTACGCTCATAACGTTCTAATAGATTAATCTTATATTTTGGTAGGTGAATAAATTAAATAAATATGATTGAGGAAACTATTTAGTGCATTTTTAATAATCGTGATATATCATGTAATTGATAGAATTTAACTTTTCAGCCCGCAAGGCGCTAGCCAAAATTATCAATAATAAATGAGTAGTTGACCTTAATGGGAGTTGCAACGAAGATGGGAAAACCCAAATATTTTCCAAAGTGATGACTCTCCAAAATATTCAAATTGTTTTTTTAAAATGGGAATCCTAAAATAAAAGTCACGAATTTTAAGATTTTTAATTTTGTTTGTTGATTAAAAAGAGAAAACATGAATTAAAAAGAAATTTACCTTGAATCTTGGCAATGATGATTTTTCTAGATTTTCAATGGCTTAAAGTGGGAGCATCTTTGTGTAAAAAATTAAAAGAAAATATAAAGATGGATGAAAAAATCTTGCTAACTAGGATTGAACCAGATATCACTTGAAAACGGACCCTTAAATTGGTGAACCATTTAGTCATTTGAAGCATATATTAATTATTACTTTACCTAATATTTAATAAGGAAAAAGGACATCATGCATGAAAATATCAAATACATCAACAACTAATTATTACAATCATCAATAGTAAACAAATGAATGGAATGATAATCCTCAGAAACAAAAGATGATAATGTCCTAACTTTTCCATCTCCTTTTAATTCAAAATATTTTTCAGTAGGACAAGTACAATAAGTTGTTGCACACTTACAAAATCTATCTTATTTTTGTACTCATTAACTAAGTCAATAAAAGAAATAAGATTAGGATCATATCCTTTTCAATAATGAACCAATCTCTTCACATAATGTGGTTCTGAATTATTAAGTCACACCATCATGACGAGAGTATATGGTGACATTTATTATTTTAATAACCTACAAGGATTTAAATAAAATAATTGCACAATACTAGATAACATATTAGCTAAGTGAAATAGTTAAGTATTAAAACATAATGTTAGTTAGTCAGTATTCACATTAGGAAAAAGAGGAAAATGGGCAGTGATACATTAAGTGCATGAAATTAAATTGTTAAGCATTAAAGTTAAGTCAACATTATTAAAATTAAATTTTTAAGTGTTAAAATTAAGTCAAATTAGGAAGAGTTAACAAGTCATATTAAACTATTAAGTAAAAATCAAGTCATATTAAACTGTTAAGTAAAAAATAAGTCATATTAAACTGTTAAATATTAAAGTTAAGTAAAAAAAAAGTCATATTAAACTTTTAAGTATTTAAGTTAAGTCATAAACTAGAAGAGTTAACAAGTCAAATTAAACAGTTAAGTATTAAAGTTAAGTGAAACTAGGAAGAGTTAACAAGCCATGTTAAATTGTTAAGTAAAAAGTAAGTTATATTAAACTGTTAAGTATTTAAGTTAAGTCACATATTAAACTGGAAGAGTTAACAAGTTAAATTAAACTGTTAAGTATTAAAATTTCAAACTAGGAAAAGTTAACAAGTCATATTAAACTGTTAAGTATTAAAGTTGAGTCAAACTAGGAAGAGTTAACAAGTCATAGTAAATTGTTAAGTAAAAAACAAGTCCTTTTAAACTGTTAAGTATTAAAGTTAAGTAAAAAAATAAGTCATATTAAACTGTTAAGTATTTAAGTTAAGTCACATATTAAACTAGAGGAGTTAACAAATCAAATTAAATTTGTTAAGTACTAAAGTTAAGTCAAACTAGGAAGAGTTAACAAGTCATATTAAATAACTTGACATCATATAATCTTAGGAAACATTAAACATTTTATTCATAACATGTGGTTATTTTTTAAAATTCAAGTTGTAAGAATATTTCTAAGTGAGAACCATACTGAAAATTGCAAAAGTGTATTATTCTTAACTGTTAAACTATCAAAAAGAATAGAGACATTCCACAAAAAAAATATAGGTCTACCTAATTATTACTTTAAAGGATGACAATAAATAATAACCCCTAACAAGTAGATAGTAAAAAGACAAACAGACAACAAATTTTAATAAAGGAGATAAAGAAATCAATAAATAAACAAGTAAACAAAAGAAGAAGATAAACAAATCAATAAATAGACAACTTGACAAAAGAAGAAGATAAAAAAATTAAGGGAAAAAGAACAAATATACCCCCGAACTTTGATAAATGGTACGTCTATGCCCTCCGTTTTACTTTTCATCCATCTCAGCTCCTGCCGTCCAATTATCGATGCACATATGCCCTCTCACTAATTGCACTCTCATTTTGTACATGTGGTTAAATCCTAAGCAACTATCCCATTGACCATTGCTTTTAACTCATAAACTACGAACCCGCCCCATAACCCAATACCCACCCAATTTGTAATGCCCCGTATCCTAGATAGACCAGAATGCAGATTTCCAGAAGTGCAGGTGCCATCTACGGAGGCCACATATGGATCGTAACGTGGTCAACAGAAAAATCCAGAAAACCTTGACCGTAGGTGGGACTACGGTTCGTGGACCAGGTCTGTGGAACATGGTCCGCAGAAAACCTAGAAAACCCCGACCTACGGCCAGGACCTACGGATCGTAGGTTGGACCACGGTTCGTGGACCAGGTCCATGGATCTTGGTTCACAGATCCTAATCTCTGAGCCAAACGACAAAGGACCAGGACGGACCGTAGTTAGGACCACGATCCGTGGACCAGGTCCGTCGGTCACTCCGACAACTTTTAAGTTAGGGTCATTTTGGTCTTTTCTCTATGCATTGGACCCCTAAACTACGTCATTTAGACCCTAAATTATGAGGTTTTAGTCAGATTAAGCCTAGAAACATAACTAGAACTTACCTAAGTCAAATTATTAATTAAAACTTAGAAAATTAGAAGCAAGAGAGGAGAAAAAGGTCAACCAACCCTAGTTCAAGAACGCAACAACTTTCCATCAGTTCCAACCCCGAAATCGAAAGATTTCTCCGTGGAATTCGTCACCAGGTATGTGGGATTTCACTAGTGGGTTCCTTTCACCCATTAGGTCCCTAGTTTTCAGTCAATTTCTTGATTCCCTTATTATGACTAGACCTAGGGTTTCTTGAATGATTAAGAATATTGGGTTCTTAGCTGTTAGAATGATCCAAATTAGATTAGTATGTTAATATTCAGTCTATTGCATGAATTTAAGAACACTAGCTATGTAGTTCTTTAGTTCTTGAATTACACATGCTAGGCTAGATATTTCAGTTATTTCAGATATACATGCCTCAGTCTTAAATGTGTCATTATCAGTTATTTATGCACATTCTTAGTTTGCATGTCATTTTGAGCTATCCAGTATATCACAGAAATTCAGTTATAATGTGTTAATCACTTAATCCACTGGGAGTAACATAATACCAAGTTGGATTAGGGTTAGTCACCCATATAGTCCTAGAACTACGAGCCACATAGGTTGTAAGTCCTCTCTGTGCGCATCATTTTAGTGATCATGCCAGCATGCCTCTATACCTTTGGCCAGGTGTATTGGGTCCTCTTGATGGAGCGTATACATCGAACTCCACATTTAGATCATGTGGTTTTATTATCGGTTATTAGAAGCTCCCACAGTTCAGTCTATTCTATTGCACTGACCATTTATCAATACATATTTAATATTCAATTTCAGCATGTTATAAATTGGT